AATGCAGAACATATGATCCTATCATACATGATGTTCAAAAACATTGTAGTATCATCTTTGGAAGGCTCTGCATGCTCGTGATGCATGTAAGCTTTCAAAATCTCATATTTTAAATAGCTTTTAAATATGATTTTAATCCCCCCCAAAATAAAAATAATCCAGGTTCTGTTTTTTGATCTTTGAAAAATTGTTTCTTTAGGGATTTAAACAGGCATATCTGTGCTGATAGTGTGTCTTAATTTTTAATTAAGTACCCTTGACTGACACCTGCATTAACCCGTAAAATGTTCTTTGGCAGAACTGAATGCAGACCTTTTGTTTTGTGGCACTACGTGTGGCCTACGGCAGACAGGATGAAACATAATCCTGAGCTTAATGCTTTCCCAAAAACACGTCTTGACAAGAACTCACATTTTACTTCCTGTTCTGAGAAGGATATTTCACTGCTGCTGCTGTAAAAAAATAATCTTAATGCATGCAATCTTTACATTTGGGTAAATTGCACTTCAAATTGATTTTATACTTATTTCAACCTTTGTGTTTTTCTGTCAGCCTGCCTGAAAAGAGCCCTGTTTGCTTTTATAATCCATTGAGGACTGATGCCATGCAATGAGGTCCATTGGTTTCATGCAAACAATTCAGCTTTTGAGGATGACTTTGTCCTGTTATTATTAAATATGTCAGAATTAATTCATTCAAGGTGGGTGAAATGAATAAATAAATATTTCGCATCAGTGAAAGTCTCTGAGTAGTTTGAAGTAAGGATAGAATTGTTTCATATCAGGAATAGTTGATAATGAATGTCACACATGGGGTCTCGGAGTGAAATGGTGCCTTGGTGACTTTGTGTGAACAGTGAGGTTACTGGGTAATGTAAGATATAAAAAACAGGTTTATTGTTGCATAATTTGTTGTAAGACTCTTGAGCTCTTGCTGCTAGTGCAGACCATGTGTAATTAGTGGAGTACCACAGGTATCCCTACTAGGATACCTCTGCTCTTCTAATTCTTTCTTATTCTCTGATTTAGATAAAATTCAAGACTGGGTAAACTCCTGGCAAATGACATTTTAATGTAGTTGTTAAAATTGACAAATTTTATGGGATATTATGTTAAAATTGTTTAATGAACAAGTTAGGCCTCATTTAGAATATAGTGTACAGCTTTGGTTACAATTTCATACTGCTCCTTTGGAATCAGTCCAGATCACAGCAATCAAATATATTCAGGGCTTAAGGGAATATTCTGAGCTAAAATGCTGAAAGAACTGAGTCTTTGTGGTCTTGATCAGAGTAGTGCCAGGGGACCGGATACAAGTATTCAAAATCCAGAAATACATTGGCAAAGTCACCCAAGCAGACTTCTTCAGAATGAATATTGACACATGAACCAAAGGACACAAGTGGGAGCTACTCAGAAGTGAATTTAAAGCCGAGAACAGGAGGCACATTATTTCCCAAGGGGTTGAGAGAGTGTGCAACCAGCTGCCCAGCCCTTGTGGTGAAATATATACTCTGGCTTCTGACAAGAAATGGTAGCCCTCTTGTTTGTAACTGTTTTTCTGTTTCTCCTTTATCACAATAATAGGCCTATTTTGAGAAGTTTTAAGTAATTTGCATGCACATATACATTACAGGTACCCCATTAATAATGAAGGAGTTTGTAAATGATTTAAATTCTGGAAAAAAATGAGACTTTTTTCCTTTTAATCCCTTATCTTCCATTCAACAGCAAACATTTAAAGATTATTATACTATTTACTGCAGATTGCTGTACTTGTTTCCTCGGAGTCTTGTCGTGATGCAGCCGCATTGCTATCAGAACGGATTTATCATCAGTTGTCATCTGTTCTTTCTTAGAGCAACAGCTGTAATTTTCTATTCAGGTGGTTAAGCCAGATAATCACAGCCAGACTAGCAGAGTGCTTAGCTGTGACATATCCTTTTGTATGTCTTATTTAGGCATTGAGTCATTGTTATGCACAGACTGGGTGATAAAAGTCACAATCCAGAGTTTTTAAGTTCCTCCTTGTGCAGTAAGTGTATACACATTTGCCACTGTGTGCAAGAGCGGATTAGGGCTGCCCATGTACTGGATTGAGGCCAGAGACTGGGTCTTGCAGTGAGCACCATTCGGCTTTCCCAGCTGCTTCAGTGTTGAGGGTGAGGGACATGACAGGTCCTGGGCTGGGTGGGCACCTCTGCCACAGCAGCATGCAGCTGGGCTCAGGAAGGTGCAAGTGGCACAGAAACCTGAGCTCAGCTCCACAGCACCGTGAGTGAGCGATGTTCCAGCTGTGGCCCCCACCCTGCTCTCACCGTGCTTCTGCTCGTGCTTTTTTTTTTTTATTCCTCCATGGACCCCTGAGATGCGTTTCTGCAATGTAAAGGTCTTTCGTCCCCTGCTTTTATTTTTTCTGTCTCCCTGGCCTTATTCTGCCCCCTTCCCTCCTCTTTGGCTAGTTATCTTACTTTGCTGTTTGTCTTTTTGTGCACTCCAGGCTGTCGGGTACAGCGTCATGTAAGTGCCTTTCCTGTGCACGGCTGTGGAGGTGGAAGGAGGGGGACATCTGAGACACTGGGGAAGAGTCACTGCCCCCTGTGACTGGTCAGCGGTGCTGTGGTCATGGGCTGAGCCGAGAGTATCCCCGTACTGGACTTTCCACCTTTTTAGCTCTGTCGGACTTAGTGGCGTCCGCCTGCCTCGTGATTTTAATCGGCACCTCAACTTGCTTAGTGATTGACACAACTCCCTGATTACCTCCTCCCTCAGAGCCCCGTGATAAGTGTTCCAAGTTACACTATCTGCACAAGCCAGACCCTAAACAATCAGTGAGGGAGTTAGGGACGTAATGCATTTAATACCTTGTGACTGATCTGCAGAAATATTATCTTGCTCTGCTGCTGGGTGCAGATAGGGACTGGCAGCCACAGCTCGTGTAGGGATATTTGAAATAGATCACCTGTGGTACAGATAATCCTCTTTGGGATTAAATTTTATTATCCCCGTGTGTGGTGTAATACCTGCCAGATAACGGCATTAACGGGAAATAGCATCTAAAACAGAGGAAGGGAAAACTTCCTCCCAATGGCTTGGCCAGAAATGCCACCTTTTTCTTCTCTGCTGGTGCCCCTGCTCACTCATACTGACCAGCAGGGGGAGCCATTAAACTCGTAGACCTGTTGTGGTCAGGAGTGGCTCTGATGGTGGCATCGGAATTGAAGAGAACTGGTCAACACACACCTGTCTTTTGAAAATTTGAATGTCATAGGGTCTCGGAGTGGGGGGAAGGAGGTGTAGTGGATCAGTTGTTAGTCACTGTTTTTAAAAAAGGCCATGGTTTGGGAAAAAAAAGCACCAATCGGAATGCTTTCTTTAGGGCCATTTTTATTAGATTTTAATTTCACGACTCATTTCTTTTATGAAGCAATTTTACTTTTCTTAACTGAATCAATTAATAGTAATTAAATGTTTTTGCTTAGTCAAAACATTTTGGAAAAGAAATGAAATGCTGTTTTATGAAAGCCTGTAGATGTCGACATGTTACATAGCCACTCATTTACATAATGCCTCAAATAGTTCAGCATCAGGAGATTTACGAAGGAATATTTTTCGTTTTGGTTTATTTATTTGGCTTTCAGAGTCCTTAAGAACAGTGGCAAGCCTTAATGATTCTGCATCCTGCTGCATCCTGGTACCGTTTCAAAGATTAACACATTTCTGCCAACAAGCCAAATGAGGAAAGGCAGGATATATAATTGTTTCTTCAGATAGCTGTGGAATCAATGAATTGGGATTTGTATTCTGCTCAGTGGTTTAACCGTGCCTAGGGCAGAGGTTTAGCGATTTGGCTTGGACAGAGGTGTACTGTCACATCGGTTTTGTGGTTTATTACAATAGCAAATTAATGCAAGTGCATTAATCTCTATTACCTGTTCCTTTTCAAGTGTTTGTTAAATATAGCAAAAATTAATTCTTGGGCAAGTGGAGCCACTGCAATTTTAACCAATCGTAATTCTCTATAGGGGGAAATGAGGAGGTGAAGAAAAACTTTTCTGAACTCCCCTCCTTTGAGCTCACCCCTTAATTTTGGTCAGTAAGCTGTTTTGTAAAGTTGCCAAAAAAGACTTCACTTCATGTGTAGTAATGTTCTTATGAAATGTACTGTACATGTGTATAAATAATTGGCTTTTGTTTAAACACATTATAAAGGTGGATGCTGCACATTGGTGGTGGTGGAGGGGAGACCCCATTACCTGTAAAGCGCTTTGAGTGCAGTGTCCAGAAAAGCGCTATATAAGTGTAAGTTGTTGTTGTTGTTGTTGTTGTTGTTGTTGTTGTTGTTATTATTATAAACACGTGTTCCATGGCAGGAATGGATCCTTTGCATCAAACTGTCTTCTATGCACAAGAGAGGTCTGGTTCTAGAAGAATCCTGACATCACAAACCTCTGGCAGCTGAGCTGCTCTCTTGGAGAATGTGCCAAGTCTCTGTCCCTCTTGGAACAGAGGAAAATGTGGTTGCTTAGGAGCAGTGATCCTAAAATATCACTATAAAGCATCACATCCATCTGCTGAGCAAGGTTAAATAACAACACTGCTAGGACAATCTAGCTGGATGTCTCAGCATTCTTTGAAAAAAGTCGAAAAATATGCTTTAAGAAACATGTTTTTTTTTTAATTAATTCTGAGGTCACTGAGGTTTTCTATCTTTTAGAAGTATTCAGAAATCATCTTAGTATTGAAAGATTTAACCTTCCTGGCAGTTAATCTTTGCATGACTATTTACAAAACAATTTCTTTCCAAATTTGTATTAATGTGAAGCAGGCCTCAACCAGCCCACTATCGGGTTATTGTGGTTACTGGTCTCAGGTCATCTTCAGCTGTGCTCGGGTCTGAGTCCTACTTGAACCTTTAAAATGGTATGATGTGATGTCCAGGTTTTCCTGTGTGGAGCTGAAGCAGAGTGATCTAAGGAACGTACTTTTCTCATTTCCCAGCACGGCGTTGTTCTTTGGGTCCGGATTCGTTTTCACTGGACTGGCTAGAAATAAAAAAGAAGAGCTCCTGATAACCTGAAGGCAAAGAATAAAGCAGCTGTCACTGAGGTAACATTTCTATCTACAAAGGCATGAGAGAGGGGAGTTTTCATTAACTCCCAGATACATGTGAGTCAGGTTGGGCTGATTAATAGCTTCCTCTTGAGAGAAATCCTTGGTGAACTGATTTCAGATTCCTGAGTCTTTACTTTGACTTGTTGCTTCCTCATGTATATCGCCTAGAGTTGAGAGAGTTTGCATCTATTCTGTGTATCTGTGTTGCAGTTTCCAGTCCTGTGTTCCTCCCACAGCATTAAACTAGGTGGAATCTCAACTTTCACAATAGGGTGGTATTCACAGCTAAACTCTGGGACTTTGTTCATTTTCATTGGTATGGGAGGTCTGTAAAGAAATCGCCTGATTCCCTTTGTGAAGTCCTCTCCGGATCACTGTGAGTGAACTATGGTTATAAAAGGTGTCTGTGAGTCAAGTGGGCAGTGCTGCAAATTAGGCAGTTCTTGGAGAAATAGAAGAGTGCAGGAGGTGAGATATATATATATACAGTATATATAGAAGACCTGGTCCTGAGTATGAATGAGCACTGAGGTTTGAGCTAAGATGTGACGTGATGAGAATTATATTTGCTAGAAAGTAAGAATGTACATATGCCTGTTTATTCCAACAATGACAGCAGTTTTGCTCTGCTGGCAGACCGAGCGGAGCTGTCAGTACCAGCAGCAGGGAACCTGCAGCTGCTCCAGGGCCGTAGGCTTCTGTCCTCCCCGAGTCCTCAACCAGCACTTTGCGCCTTGGCTGCCCTCTCAGTGGCAGCTCTCTAAATCGGCACAAACACCTTTTAATTCTGCTGATGCGCTCGGCGACAACAGTAGCTTACCTCTTTCTGTCATATTGTAACACTGTTGATGCGAAACAGATGGAATTAAACATGTACCGAGTCTTACATGTTGGATTCTTTTTTGATTAATTGTTCAAGCTACATCATCGTAAAAGATGCTGTTTATTTGTTATTTTGCTCCAGAAAGGTTTCAGTTATTTACTTTCCAATGTCATCTTCAATCCCATGTCGCTGTTTACTCCCCTGCCTCTGCTCAGGATGCTGTTGTGGCACTCTGCTCTCCTGTAGAATATCCGGATAAGGAAAAATTCAATTACTGCAGCGGAGCCTGTGCTGAGAAACAGTGAAAGGAAATCACCGCACATGGGGTTTTAAATAATAATGCAGAAATGACAAGGATTAAAATGAATTAGTTCATTAAGTTTCATATTACGGGAGGCTATTGCTTCATTAGTTGAACTTAATGAGCTGGAAAGTGTATTTTCATTCAGAAAATGTGAAAATATCGAGACAGCTGTTGCTTTCAGCAGTGAACTGCAGGGTTCAGAGGTCACAGGGTCTAAGGAGCAAGGTTCTGTTCCTGCCTTACAGACCAAAACAAAGAGAGCAGTTGTCTTTAGAGTTTACCCCCAAATTTCCAAACTTTGAAAATAATTGGCTTAACAAATAGTTTCACTGTGACCCTTACCAGGTCAAATGGACTGACACTGGGTGGATGAAGAGAAGTAACGATTGCACCTGAGATATGCAGACCTGGGCGCATTAGGAGTAGCAAACAAAAGCGGGCCACGCAGTCCGTCCTCTTCAGCTGGTGTCTGGTAGTTTATCGATCCAAGGATTGTGTTATTCCTTGAGGGATCTCGGGGCATCTTCAACAGCCATGGGGCATTTTGTGTTCGTTTGTGTGCCACTTTTAATGTTCCTGTGATTCTGATTGTGTTGCATAAGAAATAAAGTTCAAAGAAATGAGGAGCCCATTCGGTTCCTATTTGCTCCAAGTAACTCATCAGTCAGTTTTCTGAAAGGAGCCAGGAGTCTTGGGTTTGATAATGAGCTTGAGTGCTGTAGGTTCTTCCTGACTCCCACAGCCATGTGTCAAAGAGTGCCTCCTGTTCGGTTTTAAATGCTCTTCCTCTTAGTTCCATAGTTTTCATGCACCTTCTCTGCTTGTTTATTTACTGTTGATTCTGAAGAAGGCCACTGGGCCTTTTAGGGTTTTGAATGGGTTTTCCTTGTATTCTTTCGTTTTTAGATAGCCAGCGCAGGGCGTTGCGTTGATCCCAGGAGTCTGTGGTCAATCGTCTTGGGACTGATACCAGAGCAACAGTATATTTTAATAATGGTGCCTGAAATTGCTACTAATGGTTATTTAGTTATAAGCACTTCAGTACCTGGTCCTTTTTTTTTTTTTATTTGACCCTGGATTTCTCTTTTTGCCTCTCTCTGCCCTCTGTGTGTCTATCTGGCAGAGTCCCTTTGATTTCTCCCCCTTCCCTTTTATGAGAAGGTAATGATCATAAGCAGTACTAGAGGAAGTGCCCTGAAGGAGTTAAAACTCTCCTCCCAGTTGGATTTGTTTAGAGCCTTCTCTCAATAACTGCTCCATATCAGCTGGTACCATAGATTCGTCCTCTTCAAGGAGCACTAGACAAGGTTCTGCAGGGGGATTGTGTGTGTTAACGGATTGTTTGCTCAGATTATGCAGAGCGCTTTGAAGAGAAATTCAGGGAGCCTTCTTCAAACCCACTGTTGACAGCCCACAGACAGTAACAACACTATCTGAAGTACATGCTAGTGTTGGCATTTTTTTACAGAACCCTGCTTATGCTTATTTTTATTTTTCCTGCCTTGAAGGTGTTAAGAATGACAGAAATAGGCCTGGAGGGGGGGGTGTATCTTGGTGGAGGAGGAGAAGATTGGAATTGCAGATGCAGCTTGGACCATTAACTTCAAGAGCTGCTTACACATCCTGTGGCATGAACAAAGGAGACCTGTTTGAGTCTTCACACTTCTTTTACTAAACCAGTCAATGCAACAGTTTACTAATTGTTTTTATTGTGGGGAAAAACAAACCAGTGATAACAGGGTTTTGTCATTTAGAGCAATACTGACAGCTCATGTTTTCTCCTGCATTCCTGGCAAACATGTGGCTGTGTTAGTGAAGATCGTACCCCAACAGGAGTCTGTTGGAAACATTTTTCTTAGTTTTATTTCTTACTGAAGTCATTGAGCACTCATAATATATGCATTTCATATCTTGGAGCTAATAAAATGTAGAATTAATGGACAGGCCCGCTTCCTGCAGTCTCTTAACTGCGGGGTATTTGACAGCTAAATTATCCACAACACATTAAACAGAAAATAAAGAAATTGGAGCTACATGTAGATCATCATAGATATTACACTATTTTTCTGTCAGAAAAAGTGTGCATTATTACACCTGAGTGACACTAAGCATTTTAAAAGCCTTCCTATCATTTTATGGTTTGCAGTTATTCAGCTAACAAGTACATTGTTGACCTTAGTAGCTATATTTAACATTTACTGCTAAAACATGTACATAATATCAAAACTCCCATACTTGCGGACTGCACTTCAGTACCTTTAAATAAAAGCTTGTTCCGGTGTTATAAGTCAGGCTGCCATGGTTGCATGTAGGTACAGTATGATAGAAAAGGAGTGGAAAAGCAGACTAAATCACACTGTTCTTCATTTTCCATGCCCCCTTCCTACCCCTTCAGTTTGGAACAACTCCGTGGTCACACTGTGCAGCGCCCCCATCAGGAGGTTGGGCATTGTACATGCCTTTTTCTGAGCGTGGTGCCACCCCTCTAACTCGGCTGTCGACAGTAGCATGTGCCGTCAAAGATGACCTGGCTGGCTTAAGGGTGCCCATCCCCAATACTGCTTGGCCAGGGGTGAGCTGCTGTTTGCACGGCCCTGATCGCAGCCTGCTAGTAACGTGCACCCCGCACTCGAGCTGGGGATACCTGCGCTGACGGGCCTGACCTACACTCCTAACTCCTGCACAGAGCCAGTCGGGCCTCTCCTCGCCCCCCTTTTAACTTTTCAGCCTCTGTAGGGTCGAGCTTTCAACCGGAAGGCCCGCTACTTATTCCGATTCCCAGATTGAGCTCCCAGACCACTTGTGATGTGGGGTTCCCACCTGTTGATTTGTGATTGAACTGGCCACCTTGTCAAGAAGGTGGTGGGGACGTACTGGGTCTTCCTGTCCTCGGCTTTCTCACTGCCCTTTTGCTAAACCTGTACCTCACAGTTTGCGGCTCCTTCCTTGTTTCTGCAGCCAAGTGGCAGCTGAAGCTCCAGCAATGATAAGTGTGGATTAGCAGCTCCAATTTGCCTCCACTGACTCATGGAGAGAGGATTGCCAGCTACGTCTTCCGCGGATTCGTCTGCCTGTCTGGCCGGCTCTGAGGAGGTGCTGTGAGGTGTGAGAGTTTAAGTTCCAGCGCTTGAAATGTGTTTTTCCCTCAACCGGCTTAGGCTCATTGCAGAGAGGGAGAGACGGAAATGGGCTTTCCATGTTTCTTCACCCCGGCACCCATAAAAACCGCCCACTGAAACCACAGATAAATCTTCACTTAAAACGGCTTTTGTAAATCTGTCTTTGAGGGAAAAAAGTAATAAGGGATTGTGGAAGTCTGCAGGAACAGCTGGAGTTGAATCCATTGAGCAGTGATATTGCAAAAGTTGTGTTCCCAGCCAATGTCTGGACTAGCTACAAAGGCCAAACCATTCATCCCTGAAGTAAATACATTGTAATCCTTGTTCTTTAAATGTGCTGTTTATTGCTAACTCACAGGTTATTTTTTTCTGATGTTTTCTCTGCATTGCTGTGTACAAGTGTGTTGAGATGTTTTGGTGAAGGCTGGTGTGAAATAATTTCAATATAAATTGTTTTTGTAGGATGAACTATGAGATACAGCAATGGGTTTATAACTCAGTGAGTTATGCTCCAAAGAACAGACTTTGAATCATTATGAGCTGCTGGATGTCACCTGGAGAACCAGTTAACATCTTGAGCAAAAATAAATTCAGCCTAGACTCCAGAACCGTTTCCAGAAGAAATACACTGTGTTGGTGGTCACTGGCCAAGAGGAGCTGATGTCCAGATGGCCTCCCTGCATCAGTGCTGGCACTTTCACCTGGAACCTACCTGGTAGTTTGGCAGCCTTAGATGTTTAGAATAATT